TTTATTTATTTATTTTTTAAAAGATGACCGGTAAGGGGATCTTAACCCTCGACTTGGTGTTGTCAGCACCACGCTCAGCCAGTGAGCGAACCGGCCATCCCTATATGGGATCCGAACCCGTGGCCTTGGTGTTATCAGCACCGCACTCTCCCGAGTGAGCCACGGGCCGGCCCATATTTGACTATATTTTTGAACAACCTTAACATCTTTCTCTTTTCACATAACTTGGATTATGTTAGTATTAACATGGATCATCTAGCCCTATCAGTATACACCCAATTTGAAAACAGCTGTGCCAAAGTCACCTCACATCCCCCCAGTAATTGTAAATACACTGGCTCTTCCTAAAGCCCAAGCTGAAATGCCAAAATATTGGAACTACCTTATGATATGCTTAAGATCCAATTATGCTTTAAATAACAGCTCTCTGCATCCCTGGGTTCCACATCTGTGGATTCAAGCAACTGCGGATCAAAACTGTTCCTGTATTTAACATGTACAGATTTTTTTCTTGTCATTATTCCCTAAACAATACAGTATAAAAACAATTTACATAGCATTTACTCTGCATTAGGTAATCTAGAGATGATTCAAAGTATAGCTGGACCATTAGCTCACTTGGATAGAGAATGGTGCTGATAACACCAAGGTCAAAGGTTCAGATCCCCATACCAGCCAGCTGCAAAAAAAATAATAAATAAATAAAGTATAGAGGAGACTGGCCAAAATGTAAGAAAGGATGGGCAATGGTTATATGCAAATTCTGTTATTTTGTATCAGGGACTTATCTGTGGACTTTGGCATCTGAAGGGGGTCCTGGAACCAATCCCTCATGGATACCTAAAGGGCTACTGTTTATCTTAAATATTTGGTATTCTTGAGATTTTTAAAGACAATAGGAAAAAAAGAAGGTAAGAGGAAAAAGCTGACAGTTCAGAAAAATAAATGTAAAAGCTCTCCTATACTAAAATTAATGACTTAGTAAAACTGAATATACACTAAACAGATCTTTAAATTTTTGCTTTAAAAATCACATTTTGGGCCAGCCTGTGGCTCACTCGGGAGAGTGCGGTGCTGATAACACCAAGGCCACAGGTTCGGATCCCATATAGGGATGGCTGGTTAGCTCACTGGGTGAGCGTGGTGCTGACAACACCAAGTCAAGGGTTAAGA